AAATCTAGATATTAACTCTTGGAGGAGTTTCTTGGTGACTATTAAGCCTGTCAGCACTTGGGTAGGATAGGCTTCCACCCATCCAGAGAAGGTAGCTATGAAAATTAACAAATATTTATTCCTAAGAATGGTGGCTTTTATCTCTGTAAAGCTGACTTGGGGTGCCCATTGGGTGCAAGCTCCTTTCCAGGCTTTTTATCCTCCTTTGGGATTTACTTGTGTACACCTGCACATTTGCACAATGTCTTTGACAAGACTGTCTAGTTGAAGGAGGTAATATCTGGGCCTGAGTAACTTAGCGGGTTTGAATGCCCCCAGGTGGATGATGCCCATCTATCTTCTGAGAATGCCAGGGAGTACATCCAGCAAGAATCACCTCTTTATGTCCTGTTTATCATCTTTCTTTTCTGTCCATTTGGTTTTTTTCTGTGTGTAGCTTTGGTATTGGAGCAATTCGGTTTTGGGTGGGTGACCAAGATCTGAAGCAGCCCCAGTGGTTCTAGGGTTGCCTTCTGGGCAACTAAGTCTGCTGCCCCAATTCCACGGGCAGCCAGGGATTCCCCTTTCTGATGCCCTTTATAAGCGGACAATGGCTACCTATTTTGGGAGCTGTATGGCCTCTAATAGGGCCAGGATTTCTTTGTTTTTAACTTCCTTTCTGGTTGAGGTGAGAAGCCACCTTTTCCTATAGAGGGCTCCACAGACATGGCTGTGGTAAATCCCTAGCAACTGTCTGTGTACACACAGCAGAGTGCCTGGGTTGATGCCAAAAGCTTGAAGTTCCTCACCTGAGAGACTGGGCCCAAACTGTCCTGTCCAAGGTGACAACTGTAGCCCCCAGATACCTGCCGTGCACACCGCCTATCTGTGCGCTATGTGCTACCATACAGTTTGTGAGCTTCGGGCAAGAGGCTGAAGGTTGAAACACACAGAGATACAGAGACACGGACCTCTAGTAAGAAGCCCTTTATTCAATAGCACCTCGGAGGCCAACAGGTGAAAACCTCATCCTCTGATCCTCAAGGCCAAGGCAACACGTGCTCGTGAAGCAGAGCTGGTAAACAACTTTGACACAGTCTTTAGTAACTCAAATCAGAAGGAAAGTAAAGGTCAATAGCAGGGAAGAGCAGCTGGAGGCCAGGACTGCAAATGGTCCCAACAATACCTGGTTCCATTTTGAACAAAACTGCTTCAATCCATCGGGTCTGACCGATTGGGCCACATCACTGAGTTCCAGGCAATACTGAAGAGGCTCTCTTGGGTTATTTTATGGCAGCAGGCTGGGTTGATGGCTGAAGTTTTACAGAATTGGGTATGGGGTTAGTCTAAGAAAAGTGCTTGATAACAAGTTATTTGGGTGTTGGACATCTCTCCTGCTGGGGCCTCCAGAGCGTTGCAAAGCAATTCCACCAGAGACCACACAGAAACTCTTTTCTTTTTAATTTTATTTTATGTGTCTTAGTGTGTCACCTGCATGTATGTCTAGGTACCATGTGTGCGTGGTACCCTTGGAGGCCAGAAGAGAGTGTCCCCTGGAACTAGAATTAAGGACATTTGTGAGCTGCCATGTGTGTGTTGGGAATCTAACCCAGGTCCTCTGGAAGAGCAGCCAGTGCTCTTAACCAATAAGTCATCTCTCTAGCCCAATACACAGAAACTCTTTTTTTTTCTTTTTGGTTTCTTCAAGACAAGGTTTCTCTGTGTATTCCTGGATGTCCTGGAACTCACTCTGTAGCCCAGACTGGCCTGGAACTCACTCTGTAGCCCAGGCTGGCCTGGAACTCACTCTGTAGCCCAGGCTGGCCTAGAATGCAGAGATCTGCCTGCCTCTGCCTCCTGAGTTTTGGGATTTACCCAGCTCATACAGAAACTTCTAAAGCCAAATACAAAGTCTGTACTGCTGGCTGGAGACTGCATGAGAAACTTACCTCAATCAGGCAGCTCCAAGGCTCACCGTGTTTTTGCCTTTTATATACAAAAACCACATCCTGGGGCCTGGGGAGATGGCTCAGAGGTTAAGGACACCGCCTGTTCCTCCAGAGGACTTAGGTTCAATTCCCAGCACCCACATGCAGTTTACAACTGTCTGTAACCCCAGTTCCAGGGGATTTGATACCTTCACACCAATTCACATTAAATAAAGTTTAAAAAAATTTAAAAAAAAAACCCACATCCTGGTTGACATACTTTGGTTAGCAAGAAGTGAAACTACAGAAGCCAAAAAGCAAAGGTTCGTACATTTTGGGACTTTCCCAGATCCTGGAACTGTGGATTAGGTCTTGGATAGATGTAGGTCTTTATTTCCATTTTAGAAGGTGTTTGGGTATATGATCTGGGTTCTACAGTCAAAACGGTGTCCCTAACATGGCTTCAGTAGTATTCAGGTCTTAGTGCCTGGTACAATCTGTGGCCCATTCCCTGGGCAGAGGATCCTGGACTATGTAAGGCTGAGAGAGCAAGTTGAGTAGCTGCATGCATACATTCCTCCTGGGTTTTGTTTTTATCTGTGTGTTTTGTTTGCATATATATCTGTGTACCACCTGTGCCACTGGAGCTCTGGAGTTATGGATGGTTGTGAGCTGTCGTGTGGGTGCTGAGAACTGAACTCAGGTCCTTTGTAAGAACAGCCAGTGCTCTTAACCTCTGAGCCATCTCTCCAGCCCTGTTCTAGAGTGTGATGCTTCAAGTTTCTCCCACCCATAACGATGAACTATAACCAGGAATTGTGAGCCAAACAAACTTCCTCTGCTAAGCTGCTTTTGTTGGGGCATTTTATCACAACAGGGGAAAAAAAAAAAAAAACAAGACGCCTCACATTAACAAATCCCTTGGTTCAATCTCGAGCAACAAAGAAAAAAGGAAGTGAATTTTCTGGGCTCCCTTCCCACACAGGAAGGTTAATGTGGAATCATGGAACCAGGAGGTGATAGCAGGCATCTGTGGTTCTTAGTCCTTCAGGAGTCTCATGTGGCTGGCTCTCCTGGTGCCACAGAGCCGGGGGTTTGTGCAGAAAAGGGACATAGTGAGTTACGTTGGTGTCCATAGGACAGAAAATATAGAGGTAACAGATTAGAGCATGAACGAGGATGCCACTAGTAGGCTTTAAAAACCGGCAAGGGTGATCAATATCTAGGAGATAAACGCTGTCAGGCACAAGATGGGTGGTTGGTGAAGGACCAGGGCAAACAAGCTCTGGGGGGGAAAGACTGACCATGACGGTTAATGATACAGACGCAGCAGGTGGAGGTTTGCGGAGAGGACCAGACCCATCTCTAGGAGACATGCCCTTGGAGAAGGGTTTTTGGTGTGTCTATAAACCAAGAAAACCCTTGGATGTTGACAGTGAGCACCAGTCACCATCTACCTGCTTGTTTGTCGTTTTGTATTTGGAGACAGGGTTTCTCTGTGTAGCCCTAGCTGTCCCGGATGGAACTCTGTAGTCCAGGCTGGCCTCGAGATCGACCTTCCTTAGCCTCCAGAGTATTGGTATTAAAGGTGTGTGCCTCCAGTCTGGCAACCACCAGCTATTTAAAAGCTGTAAAAGTCCTAAGTTAAAGTGTGGGGCTTAACACTGCATTCTCCTGGATCTGCATTACTAGAGAAGGCTTCACTCAGCATCTTACAGAGGGCTTTGGTTTTCTCTGGCAGTGCCAAGGCACAAACCCAGGATCTCACATATAGTTGGCAAGTGAGCTGCCTCTAAGCTACACTCCCAGCACTGACACTTCTTAGGGAAGGGCTAATGCACAGGGGGAAATGGGAAATCAGATAAGCACAAAAGTAACTTAGTAGTCACAACTGGGGCTGGGTGCTAATAGCATCTACTGGGTAGAGGGCCTGGGATACTGTTAACGATCCTATAATAAACAGCTCTCTCCATCTCTGCTGAACAACAACAACAACAACAAATGATCAGGCTTTGAAAGTTAGTAGTATCACTGCTGAAAACCCTGATCTAAGAAAATGAACATAATCAAATATAAAATGCAAGCTAGGCAGTGGTGGCCCACATCTTTAACATCAGCATCTGGAGGGAGAGACAGACGACCTTGGACCTTGCTGAGTTCAAGGCCAGCCTGGTCTATAGAGTGAGTTCCAGAACAGCCAGGAATACACAGAGAAACCCTTTCTTGAAAAACAAACAAACAAAAGGAATGCCAAGAAATAGGAAGTGCATTCACATTTTAACTCTGATCCTTCCTGTCTCCAGTGGACAGGGAACAACGGCCCATTTGAAGAGGAAGGTTCCAAGTTGCGGTTCTTTTCACTCTGGAAGCTGTGCAGGTGCGGAGACAGTGGTAATGGTGGCAAGTCTTACAACAGGTAAAAGGGTCACGGAACCACCTTTAGCAGACGCGTTCTTTCATCCTAGCCTGCTGTGGGATGAGGACTAGGTTCTTCCGTCTTTGCAGCTGAGAAGCAGCCAGGGGAATATTCCCCCGTAGAATAAATCCCAGTCACATTCTGCAGAGCCAATTTCACATTAAGGTCTATCGGCTTCACTTGTAAGAGCGGTCTGGTAAAACAAAGGGTAGTCTCTTTACAAAATCTATTTCCTTGAGAGAACACAGGCTCTATAAGGAGGTCAAGAGAACCTGAGGTCACCGACTAAAAGAGACATGACGTTTAAGGAACAACCAAAGAACATCCAGAGGAGAGACCAGGCAGACACCTGAGCAACAGGAAAGCCAATCATTCCAGAGTCAAAAATATCCGATCAGTTGGAGATACCTGGGTTTCTACAAACAGGTTGCTGTCGAATACAAGGCCTTTCTTTATTCCAGGGAATTCTCTAAAGAATATGCATTCTTGACGCCATTGGGCAAACTCGAGAGCGTCCAAGGCTGAAAACCCCTAGCATCAATACCGCTAGCGCAGAAATCGAGACAGCATCAGCCTCCCGGCCGGTTTCATAAGCACCGCCCCAAGGCACGAGCATGCGCAGCTCTGCATCCCGGCCCCTCCTAGCGCGGGTCCACCCCCGTCACAGAGCATGCGCTGTCCTCAGCCGCCCCGCCCCTCCCCTCCAGAGCCCCCTGTTCCTTAGAAACCGGGCGGCGTGTTCCCGGTATCGGTGAGCTGGATTCCGGTGCCCGCGCATCCGCACCAGCCTCCCTCAAGGCGGACCGGCGGCCTCCGAAACCGGTCGGGATCTATGGTCTCGCATGCGGCTCTGGACGGGCGATGCCAGCGTGCCAGGTGAGCGGCAGCCGGCGGCGGGTGAGGGCGAAGGAGGGCATGGCGCGGCTGGGAGCGGGCGCTGGCCCGGCCTCTGCCACCGCCCGGCTCCTGAGGTTGGAGGCGAGTATACACGGGGCCGGGGCTGGAGGAGGCCTGTTCTAAATGCCATTATGTGCCCTGTACGGAGTACGAGGGTCGCACTGGGATTCGTTTCCCCATCTCCGAGGTAGGACCTGCGCATTTGGACGCAGAATTTTGGATCCTGTTAAGATCTTGAAGCTAACCACATCCCTATCCAGATGCGAAACCCTAGGCTGCCGCGCCTAGTGCGGAACAGACCACTCCGTACCTGTGTGAGGATGGGCGCTTTGTGGATGAGAATTTGTGAGGTGTGGGAACTTAAGACAAAGGACTCGTCGCGTAGCTGGCCCATCCTCTTGCAAAATGAGATGGGATTTTTCAGGCAGCAAATATGTAAGAAACTGGTGTTCAGGTAACAGCTTGAAACAAGGAACATCCCAGAAGTGTTTGGTTTTCCCTGCCAGCCCCGACCAAGTGCTGTGCCCTGGTTGGCCCTGGCCTACTTTTGTAGCTCAGGAAAGAAACAAAAGACAAAAACTGCTGGATTTGGAGAGACAAAAGATGAGATGAGGCGTTCCTGTCAAGGCTCTATTACACCTGAGTGGCGAGGGAAGATGGGGCTGGAAGATGAGCATTTATGAATGGGTCTGTGAACAGTTCACCTTCCAGACTGCAGCAGGATCTAAAGAGGACAGACGTAGAAAGGTATAAAACCGCATTGGGTAGACAGCAAGGAAGTTACCGTACGTTTGTGTTCGTTGTTCCCCGTGTCGTGCTAAGGACAGAATACATGAGGAAGAAGTCGAAACCCAGCTCAGGCACTACTCTGAGGATCCGTGGGCACAAAGACTTCTTGATGGAAGACCATTCAGTTGAAAGAAACAGCCTTTAAAATAGAAAAAAAAAAATAGAAAAAGAAGATGATACAACATTGCTATGATATGCGGTGATAAGGAAAAGATGATCGTCTTTGAGTAGGTGAAGCTAGATTCATTTGTGATAAGGAAACTCATTTCCTTCTGAAAAAACTACACCAGAGAACACAAGAGTGTCAAGACACCCATTTTACAGAAAATAGGAGAAAATTAATGCTTTTGGGCTATGAATTTAAAACATGTTTTAGGGCCAAGAAATGGAAGTTTTAGTACACAGTTCTATTGGTAGACTCCCCCCCCCCCCGCATTTTTTTATTTTTTATTTTTCTCGGAGACAGGGTTTCTGTATAGCCCTGGCTGTCCTGGAACTAGCTCTTATAGACCAGGCTGGCTTCGAGCTCACAGAGATCCGCCTGCCTCTGCCTCCAGAGTGCTGGGTGTGCGCCACCACCACCTGGCAACCCTAAACTTAAGATCCTCCTGCCTTGTCTCCCGAGTACTTGAGAGCGCACCACCATATCTGGTTTTATAAGGCAGCAGGAACTGAACTTGAGAGCGCACCACCATATCTGGTTTTATAAGGCAGCAGGAACTGAACCCAGGGCCTTGTGCCTGCTAGGCATGCACCGTATGAACTGGGCTACATCAGTAATCTTCCATTAAAAATATTTTTGTATATTTTATTAATTTATTTTGTGAGCATGACTGAGGAGGTCTGGGACAGCTAGTCCTACTGTATGGATCCTGGGAGTGAACTTGGGTGTCAGGCTTGCCAGCAGGTAGTTTTACCTGATCAGCCACCTCCTGGGCGTGCGTGCGTGCGTGTGTGCGTGTGTGTGTGTGTGTGTGTGTGTGTATACACACGTGTGCGCGCGTGTGTGAAGAAATTCAAATTGGGTGAGGTTGGTGCATACCTAGGACCCAGGGGGTAGAGGTAGGAAGAATGGCAAGTTAAGTTCTGGGCCAGTCTGGGCTGCATATTAACCACATCAAAACCACAGAAAGGGGCCAGAGAGATGGGTCAGGGGTTAAGAACACTTGATGGTGCTCGGCTGTGGTGGCGCACGCCTTTAATCCCAGCACTTGAGAGGCAGAAGTGTTGGATCTCTGTGAGTTCAGTGCCAGCCTGTTCTACAGAATGAGTTCCAGTACAGCCAGGACCATATAGAGAGATGCTGTCTTGGAGAAAAAAATAAAACCACTTGATGTTGTTGCTCAGGATAGGCTGGGTCTCCAGGACTCACATGGTGGCTCACAACCATCCATAAATTCAGTTCCAGGATGGCCTGGCACCCTCTCATGCAAGCAAAATAAATAAATACTCACAACATAACCAGATAAATCGAAAACAAAAATCATGTTTATATGTGTGTGTGTTACATATGTGGTTGAGACTGTCTCAATAAAAATATATACACATGATTTTTTTTTTTGACCCAAGATCTCACTCTGTAATCCAAGCCAGCCTGGAACTCTCTTTAGCTATCCTCCTGCCTCAGTTTTCCAAGTCAAGACCCACCCTACCTGTCTTAAGCAAGAATTTTTTAAAAAAAAAATTTTGTATGCAAGTGTGTGTCTGGTGCTATTGAAGAAGAGAGTTTCAGAACCCCTGGAATTGGATTTATGGATGGTTCAGGGAATAGCAGATACTTTTAATTGATGAGCCATTGAGCCATTGCTCCAGCTCCAAGTATGAGTTGTTTTTTGTTTTGGGTTTTTTGTTTGTTTGTTTGTTTGCTTGTTTTTATTTATTTATTTATTATGTATACAATATTCTGTCTGTGTGTATGCCTGAAGGCCAGAAGAGGGCGCCAGACCTCTTTACAGATGGTTGTGAGCCACCATGTGGTTGCTGGGAATTGAACTCAGGACCTTTGGAAGAGCAGGCAATGCTCTTAACCACTGAGCCATCTCTCCAGCCCCTGTTTGCTTGTTTTTTTAAGATATATTTTGGGTGAGGGGCTGAGGAAATGGCCCAGAGGATAAGAACATTGGCTGCTCTTGCAGAGGACCCAGGTCTGATTCCCAGCCCCCACATGGCAGCTCACAGCCTTGTGTAACTGCTGTTCTAGGGGATCCAGTGCCCTTTTCCGGCTGTCATGAGCACCAGGCACGCACACAGTGCACAGATGTACATGTAGATGACTTAGCAGTTAGAAACCTTGAAAAATAACATTTAAAAAAGAGATTTAGTTTGTGTGTGTGCATGTTGCCTGTATGTATGTATGTATGTATGTATGTATGTATGTATGTATGTATGTATGTATGTATTGCGCCATATGTGTGCCTGGTACCCATGAAGGTCAGAGGAGAGTGTCAGATCTCCAGTAGTAGAGCTATAGATGGCTGTGAATTGGCATGTAGGTGCTAGGAACTGAATCCTGACTCTGCCTTAGCAATAAGTACCCTTAACTGCAGAGGCCTTGTTAGGTTGGGATGTGTTCATGGGTTTATGGGCTTTTTTGTTGTTGTTGTTCTTTTTTTTTTTTGTTCTACAATCAGACACTTTTTTTTTTCACCCCAGAGAAAAGTGGACTTAAGGAGACTCTCCAGGTGTTTCTAAGTTACTATGGCAATGAAACCTTTGGCAAATAATTGCTTAGCGCCCACTCCATTTTCAGGGTAACTGAGGGCAGCTATCAAGTCTGACCTGCAATAAAGTAATCACTAGTGTTTGACAGTTCAACTGCAAGGAGCCCTTGCCAGATAAAGCAGCAATACTAACAGCATCTACTTTCACTGAACTGCCTTTCTGGTTTTCCGTCGGTGATGAAGCTGAGACAGAGAGGATAGCGGGGAAAATCGCAGTCAGCCAGGCCGAGCAGCACCTGGGAGGCAGAGGCAGGTGGCTCTTTGTGAGTTCCAGGACAGCCAGAGCTACACAGGTGAGACTCTGTCTCAGAAAAAGGAAGGAGGGAGTGTGTGCCTGTCCTGGGTTCAGGGACAGCGCTTGCCTAGGTGTGCGTGTCCTGGGTTTAGAGACAGCCCTTGCCTCATATGTACGCGTTCTGGATTCAGTCCACATCGCATTTTATCATTTTTATCATCAGAGGAAGTCATGACAGGAACTCGATCAGGGCAGGAACCTGAAGGCAGGAGCAGAGGTTGTGGATGCGTGCTGTTAACTGACTTGCTCAACCTGCTGCTTTCTTAAAGAACCAAGGTTCACCAGCCCGGCCTGGCCCTACCCACAATGGACTGGTTCCTTCACATCAGTCAATACTTAAGAAAATGCCCCAAAGTCTTATCTACAACCCTATCATATGAAGGCATTTTCTCAATTGAGGGTCCATCTCTCAAGTCTGCCAAATTGCCGTAAAACTAGCCAGCATGCATGCTGTTTATTTTAAAAATTAGTTTATCCTGTCAATGCTTAGGGTTTCTTTTTTTTGGGGGGGGGGAGGGGTTGAGACAGGGTTTCTCTGTTGCTTTGGAGCATGTCCTGGTTCTCACTCTGTGGACCAGGCTGGACTTGAACTCACAGAGATCTGTCTGTCTCTGCCTCCTGAGTGCTGGGATTAAAGGCATGAGCCACCACTGCCCGGGCAGCAATGCTTAGGGTTTCTAATATTTCCTAATATATTGATTGCTATCCAGAGAACATTTAAATGCATCTAAGTAATTACCAGATTATAAAGAACTGTTCTCTGCAGTGTATTTCTAAGTATGAAGTTCCAGGGACTTAGTATCTGGTTAATAGTGAGAACATGGTTTTTGTCCTGAAGGAGTGTTAGAGTGTCAATAGTGGACAGAACATCATTTAAACAGGCACAGGAAATCCTACAATACTTCAGTGAATGATTATTTTCAGCTAGGTGCATCCTGTTTGTAACCTGTCTTTTACAGCTGGCCCTTCATTACAAAGCAACCAGATAAAAAGGGGTGGTGTGGGGCTGGAGAGATGGCTCAGTGGTTAAGGGCATTGCCTGCTCTTCCAAAGGTCCTGAGTTCAATTCCCAGCAACCACATGGTGGCTCACAACCATCTGTAAAGAGGTCTGGCGCCCTCTTCTGGCCTTCAGGCACACACACAGACAGAATATTGTATACATAATAATAAATA